GTTTGCCATCGGGGTTGGGTTTTCGTCGCTTGGCAACGACGTAGTAAAACAAGTCCCCCCATCGGTGTTTGCCATTGGGATTGGGCTTTCGTCGCTTGGCAACGACTTTTTAAAACAAGCCAATTCACTTGGTGAGCTCGGCAACGAGGTTACCGTTTTTTTTTTCCGTTTTTTTTTTGCGGTATCCATAATGGTGGTCGAGTGGATCATGTTGTGCGGGGTGGAGAAGCCTCACTCCGCGCAAGGGGGATGATCGCACCACGTTGTGTTAAAGTGGTCAAGCACCCTCGAGGCAGTTACACAGTGCTTATAACTGTCTCTGGAAGTGAAAGCACCAGAAAATAAATCAAGTCACACGCAGCTGTCATCCGTACGTAAGGAAGTAAGCATNCTGGTTGAACCCCGTGTAGTAGATACGATTTGTTTCTCCAAACCTCGAGGGGCGGTCGGATACAACAATCAATACGAACACACACACAAAAGAATCAGACCTTAGCAGGGGATGGTTTATCACCCCCCCCCTCCCCCCCCAAAAAAAAAAAACAACCGTTACCATTCCACGTGCTATGTCCGTACACGTGCGCGTGTGTGCTATTGGTTAAAAATGCAGAGCTCGCAGCCTTCCTTGGCCGCCCCGTCCCTCGACGGCGGAGGTGGCGGCGGCAACGCCCCCGGCAGCAGTGGTTCCATCGTGGCTGCGATGGGCCCGCAGGCTGGTGGCGCTGGAGGGGCTGCTGCACCGGTTGGTGTCGGCGGCGGCGGCGGCGGTAGCTGGGCGCAGCCAGCGCCCCTGGCTTTCGACATCCGTGAGATCGAACGGTTCAGATACCGCGTGGAGGACACTCTCAAGAAGGTGTGATGAGCGGGAAAGGGCCAGGCGTTTTTTTTTGTTTTTCGCTCCGCTTCCGTGGTTGCATGTGCGGGCCAATCGTGGTACACATGCACTCCCCGATGGATTTGGATGAAAATCGGCAAAGCTGTGGACGACTGTCGTTGCGGCACTCTACGCCGCCCTCTTTCGCCAGATGTGACTTGGATGTCGCAGGGGGGCGGACCAATTATTGACGTGTGTTTCCTTTTTGTCTCTTCTATTCCGGCAGTCTTCCTCTTGGTTACGCGGCAACCGGGAAAGCTTTCCTGATGTAGGGCTTGTCGGCACGTGGGGTCACGCAGAGTGGATTTACTCCCCTCCTCCCCCAACCCCTTGAGAACGCAAAGGATGATGACCAGCCTCTGGTTCATCCTTGCGATGTGATAGCCTGGGCCGGCGAAAACCGCTCCGTCCCGGCATTGTAGGGATGCAAGGTCAATGGTCAAACGAGTACGGCATGCACGACCATGAGTACACCCCCCCTCTCGGGGTCGATTGCGCCCAACCGCATGTACGTGGGTCGTGCCGGCCCGTGGGGTCACGCAGACATGATTTCTTCCTCCCCTCCACCCCCCGATCGCTCGAATTCTTATGGCGTTGACCCCTAACCTTTATCTCGAAACCCTACCACTACTCTGGCAGGTGACGCGAGTACGCGTGAGGGAAGCCAGGGCCGCCGAGCTGAAGGCGGAGATCATCAACTCTCAGAAGCTGGCGGGGTACTTCAAGGAAAATGCGGGTACGTCCAAACTATAAAAAAAAAAAAGCCAACTAGCACTCTTGATTTCGTATCGCGTCGTGAGCAACGCAGATATCTGCTTGTTTATAGGTACCTTTGTCTGTGTTTTTTAATGATTACGATGAAGGCGTGGTGGCCACGGTTCGATCAGCGCGGGCTATGGACATTTCTTGGGGTGCTGTGTTTACGTGTGAATTACAACCACCAGGAAGTCGTCGGCTCGGTATCTGCATCTTGTTCGGCGATGCAAGTGTTGGTGAGCGTGGTACCGGCTCTACCTCATGCTGCACGAGGAGCACACAACGCCGGTCGGCGAGCTTTACACATTCCCAAGCTCCAACAGATTCACAGCAACAGACAGGTCCGTGTAGTTTATTGTAAATCCCTCCGGCACACGGCAGTGTCAACATGGCAGTGTCAACATGGCAGTGTCAACATGGCGGTGTTAATGGCGGTATGTACCGTGAAAGACCCGCAAAGTTTCCTGGCACACCTTTGACGTCGGACGCATGAACCTTTTGCGTTTCGTACCCGGGCTGGTGCTTCAAATGTGATTCCGAAAGTCGTGGACTGGGGCCGTGAATAGATGGAAACAGAGCACAGTTCAAGCGGTTGGCCCAGTCCAAGGCGGTGTATTACATGAAGCTTTTCCACCTTCATTTCCATCATCAACGCTTCGTTGACGATGATGATGATGGTGATGATCACCAATGCCGCAAGATAAACCAACGACAATAAACATATCAATGCCGACGACAACAACCGCGACAACACCAGCAACAACAACAACAACAACAACAACAACAACAACAACAACAACAACAACAACAACAACAACAACAACAACAACAACAACAACAACAACAACAACAACAACAACAACAACAACAGAGCGCATTAACAACCGCACCGCCGTCACCATCAATCCCATCTGAAGGCGACCTGAAGGTGCTCCGGCACGATAAGTCGGTGCTGCACCCCCTCCGCAAGCTGGACCACCTCAAGCACATCCCGGACTACCTCATGCCAACCGGCCTCCAGACTGGCGAAGACCCCACGCAGGTGTGTTCTTTTTTTCTGAAACGAGTGCCGTAAGAATTGACAAGTAATATCTCCTTGTGTCCTCGCGGGTGTCTCGTACGTACAAAGTCTTGGCCCGATGTCGCGTCCTTTGAATTTGTCACGCCGCCTCCGCCGTGAGCTGTCTTTGTGGGCTGATCCAGCATCGTGAAGTCATTTATGTGTTTCGCCCGCGTTGTTCGTGTGCTTGGGCCTGCGGCCCCCGCGCGGGAGAGAATTAGATTCAGAGAGAGAGAGAGGGGGGGGGGGGGAGAGAGAGNGGGGGGGGGGGGGGAGACAAGACAGACAGACAGACAGACAGACAGACAGACAAACAATTTCGCCGAGAATAGGTTTCTCACCTACAAAACCGTAGTACCCCTGAAACTCGACCTCCTCCCCCCATGAAAGCACAACGGACGCAATCGCAAGTACGCTTGCCCTCCCTCCCCCCAACATATCTGGTGGGTATGTATAGAATCCGGACGTGCGGCGCCCCTGTTCTAAGGGGTACTGGATCAACTACTAAATAACATGAACACGAGTACCCCCCCCGTATCCCCGCGCCCCCCTGCCGAAAGCTAAACATCCCTTCCCCACCCTCGCAACCTCTGGTCTACCGACTACGTTTTGCGTTTATACGAGTACACCCCCAACCAATCTCTGCGTTCTTTCGATGTTCTTTCAGAGACAAAGGAAGAGGATGAAGCGCGCGAGGGGCGGAGCGAAGCGTCGGCAGGGTCAGGGCCTGGACCAGGGCAGGCGAAAGGACAACGACCCTCTCCAAACCTTCGAGGCCTCCGAGCTAGGCGCGGACGGCAGCTACGGGGACGAGGAGGAGGACCGCAAGGAGGCGGCCAAGAGAATGAACGAGGAGAGGGAGTCGAGGGTCATGCAGGTAAAGGCTGGGGGGGGTGTATTCATGTAATCGCGCGCCGTTGTTGTTGGACGATGGACCTCGCATCCCTACAATGCCGGGACGGAGCGGTACGAGGGGTTTTCGCCGGCCCAGGCCAGCGTATCATAATTACTTCCTGCGTCGCGTTAATGCACCTGCCCGTTGACCACGCGCTATCACTTTGCGAGGGACGAGCGCGGTTAGTCCTTACTCCCGATAAGAGGAATCAACTCCGTACAGCAGTAGCGGTGTTGAGGTGTGCAACCTCCTACACACCAACTTGTTGGGTATCCTTCTCCCGTTTGTGGCACTCTTTGGACCCCACTCGCCTTCCAGCATTCAAGAGTACGAAACGAAAAAAAGACAAACGTTCCGTTGATGGATTCAGCTTGCACACTCCACTCCACCGAACTCAGTTCCTTTTATCAGTCATTTTTTTTTCTCTCATCATTGGACTCTGTCGTCTGCCCCTCTGGCCCCTATCCTCCACTTCTACCAGCTAGACGACCCAACCGGGGTCACATAGGAGGTTGGGGTTGGACCCCCTCCTGCGGTTCATGTGCCCGGGGGTAGGGGAACGTGCGATTGTGGCGATACAAACGTTTTTTGTTGTTTTTCTGTCGGGCGTTCGTGCGAGGCAAACGAGACATGGACAAGTGATGACGGTCAACGTTAACACCTTCTTATCGAGAGGTAGAGTACTGTAGATTGGTTACGATACGGAAAAAAGAAAATGAGAGAAATGTCAGGGGCGCCAACTTTTTTGCCATGGGCGTAACGGGAGAAGGGGGAGAGAAAGAGGCAAAGTAACGAGAGAAAGGGGCGAAAAATCGGGCACTTGACCTTAGACGTTGGCTGGATTTTTTCTAAGGGAGTAAACATATCCTCACAGAAAGACTACCCGTTCGAGATACAACCTCAGCCGAAAGGGACGTGTTCAAGTCTTCTCGGCACGTGGATTGAAACCGACTGGAACTGGGATAATTAAAAAAAAAGTGTAAGCCTACACACTGGATTTTGTTGAGTCGGTTCGAATTATTCTTTCTTCATCAGAATTTTGTGTCTCACTTCCTTGGCTTTTGTCTGTGCGTCCCTCTCTCGACGCTAGACGTTTCAGTCGTCTCATTTATGCAATTCACCGTCTCGACTGTTTTGATTCTTTTGATTCTAGTGACGTGTTGCGTATTGCGACAGCTTTTCACGTTTTCTACCCCGCCGCCGCCGCTGTTGCTCTGCTGCTGCTGCTGCTGCTGCTGCTGCTGCTGCTGCTGCTTCCGCTGATTTTTTCCATGTTCGTTTTGAGTTCCGACGGCGCGTTTCGTAATGCGACAGCTTTTTCACATCTTCTACCCTGCTGCTGCTCTTGCATTTTTTTTTTTTCTTCATTCAGACCGGAGACTTTTCCGGCGAAAGCACGTCCGGCCGAAGGCGCTGGCAGCAGCGGAGAGGGAAAGGGAAGCACGGCGGTGGCGGGAACAAAGGCCGTAGTAAGAAGACAGCCAACCGGTTCGACATGCCCGTCTGAGAGAACGTGCCCGGGGTTTGCGATTTGTTTGTCACGCTCGTGAATTGTCGTGAAGCTGCGAATTTTTTTCCTGTCTGCTGTTCTATGTTGCCACGTGTTACTTTTTGTTTTATTCTCCAAGCGTGGACGCACACGCGCGCACGACTACAAAACCTACATGCATAGGACAACAGTGTTTCACTGGTTTAAGGCCCACTTCTCGACGGTTCCTTCTGGCGTGTTTATCACTACAAGCGAGGAGGGTTCGGAGTTGGGATTTTGGCGTTTTAGGGACGATTCCAGCGACATCTTCTCTTGTAGAAGAATTAGACCGTAATGGCGTCGAGATTATTGGGGGCATAGTCTGCACAGACATGCGGGGGGGGGGGGGGGGGGGGTATCCCGTCCAGTGCGGCCGACGCCGATTCTTCTTGTGCTGGAAGAACAGACTCCGGTGGATGACTACGAATTGGCAACGCATCTATTGATGGTGGAGAGTAGGTTCCCTCTCTGCGATGTGAGCAGACGGTCCTGTTCCTAGTGGAGCATCGATAGGTGTGGGGTGTGAGGTGTATGACAGGCGGTGGGCCTTCGGTGGGGGGATGGGGGGGCGAGGGAGAGATAGGATCCAACTGGTGGATTGTTTGCGATCGAACTCTGCTCTAGTAGCCAATCGCAGCTGGCGGCAAATTCAACAAATGCTTCCTTTTTGGTGGAGTTACATTATTTGCCGAAAGATTTGATGGAAGAGCTTCGAAGGGATGCACCCGTCCAACGTGTTTTCGTTTTCGATTTTGGACCCATGCTGCAGTTCGTCAGCGTGTCCACTGAGTTCTGCCAGGTTCGCTTGTGGAACGTGGCGCACATGGCAGTTGCGGTCAGACTAGAACAGTTCCGAGTACGGCATCATGCCTTACAAGCTGGTTCACGCAAGAGACCCCGAATTTGTTCCCCCACTGATAATGAACGCAATTCATCGATCAACAGATACCTTATACCATAGTGACCCCCACGCTTAGCCTAAGGCGGTGACATAGCTGGAATTTCCGAGAACACCTTTCTTCGGTGTTTAGGCGCACTAATGCGTCTTGGCCAATCAGCGGCCTTCACGCTGTTCGAGAATGAACAACTCAAAATACCAACGCAACACGAACCTTCTTCGGCCTGAGTTCAACAACGTCAGAAGACCTTCGAGCTCTAGGGAATCCAGCAAAAAAAAATAGAAGTGAAAACGGCCACCGTTGGAGCGAGTTACTCCCCAAAAGGTGGGATTCCGGTGGTGTGGACCTTTGGCGTCGTCAGATGGCCACCGTTTGTCCGGAGCAACCGCCCAGAAAGCATCGAAACGGTTTCCGTCGTATTTATCCGAGGAAAGCTTGGATCGTCCCCAAATTCGGCAGCTTGACAGGTATTGTTGCTTCGAACCCGAAAAAATATTCTTGAACACTAGTGTTCACGAAGTTTTCCCCCTCCTACCGGCTTATCGGGTCTAACAGATAGGACCCCCGGAAGTCGGTATATATGTCTCAAGTATGAAAAATCGAATTCGGTCGGCTCCGGTGTAGGGTGTTGAAGGATTGTACAAAGTTTCGTTGGCCAAAGGGAAAAACTGAGGTACTGTAGAGCGGTCGATTCAAGCGTTAAGTTGTGCCCAAAAAGCTCATTTTGGTCAAAGTAGATAATAAGAGGTTCGCGGAGGAAACCTCAGGTTCTTTTTGCAAGAAACAAATCTTTAGTTGGGGGTTTTGGGGATATGTCACCAAATTTTGCACACTTGTCCGCAAGGTCGATATCAAACTCTTCGCCGGTGGGTTTTTCGATTTTTTTTTTTATTCGCCGAATATTCAGGGTCCAGTGCAGCCTTTCTGTCCCACGAACGTGCGGGACCCCGTATATTATTCGGCGAATAAAAAAAAATTCGAAAAACCCCGCTCGTGAAAAGTTTGGTATCGACCTTGCGGACAAGTAATTGGTGTACAAAATTTGGTGAACTATCTCCAAAAACCGAACGAAGGATCTGCGGGGAACAAACTTTGTTTTTCTTGCGTGAACCAGCTTGCTTGTATTCCTATTAGAATGACGGGGGATCGCGTCACTCGTAGACCCCGACTTTTCGTGTTCGATTACTCCACAAAGCAAGAGGCTGCCGATGCTGAAAACGGTGGAGTTGGACACATCTCCTCGGGGTTGTCCTTTGAAAACGGTGGCTTCGGAAACATACATCTGATCGAGAGCTCTCCTCTGGCGTATTGGTATTTTCCGCAGAGTGTGCGGTCATTATGAAAAAAAAGAGCAATCCGAGCTGTGCACGACAGCCTCGGTCAAAGGGGGCTTGCGATCGTTTGCCGATTCGACGGTTACATATAGCCGGTCGCCCTGCCTGGTGGTCTAGTGGGTAACCTCCCAGCCTGTTAAGGGTCAGGACATGGGTTCGAGTCCCGACAGAGCGAGCTTTTTCCTCACTAATTGGATCGTGGTCTCCGTTGGAAGCGATGCGCTGTAAAGCGCGTTCGTATTAATGGTAAACTTGATCGACTTCATAGGTCGCGAGGGAAGGGATTGCTGTACCCTTCCCGCGATGAAAATATCTCAGGCAGGAACCGCAGGAGGGGCTTCAACCCCCCCCCCTCCTGTGTGACCCCGGTTGGGCCGTCTAGCTAGTAGAAGTGGAGGATAGGGGGGGCCAGATAGGCAGACGACAAAATCCAATGATGGGAGAGAAGAATAAATATATACTTCGAAGTATAGTCTAGACTATCTACAACTATAGACTGTAGGTTTGTTGTGCACGAGCGGCGTTCAAACGCGTCCCGTATTTCGATCTACCTGCAGGATCAATCAATCGGGCGCAGCGTCGTCGATGGTGCTGCGACCTATCATTGTGGTTGGTTTCGGTTGGCACAATAACCTTCTAGTAGTCTTTATCTAAACGTTTAACCTTCCTAGCGATCGCACCGGTCGTCATCTTCTACGCGTGTATGCGAGCGACCACAAAGAGGGGTGCGAGGAAGTTTCTTGCGAAGCAGGGCAGGGGGTCTCAGGGAGAGGAACCCTTCAGTGTGACCACGGGTTCGAGTAAACGGCACAAGTACTGTAGACTAGTGCACATCTCGAACGGGTGGTTTGTATTTATTTTTCCTGTTACTGTGGGCGCTGATTTGAAGTGACGACAAAACAACGATACAAGAGGGTCCGGCGGTCACGGAAGTTAGTTGTTGATTCCTACATCTTCTGAGCGGAGACCGGAACAGTTTTTAATGCAAAGACAACAACACCACCAACAACAACAACGTCAGCCCAGTTCCTTTTCTCTAAACCGGTTAAATTTTCTTCAAGCAAGCGTGTCAGGTTGACACTTCTACCGTGAGTCTGCTATATACAACAAGCAAGCTGTAAAGGATATGCACGCGCGGTGCAATCTGGGAGACCCGTGAAGACGAATTCACTTGTTATTAACTCGTGTGGCACAGCTGCAGTAGCTGTTGCCAAGGGAAGGTAGAGGACTGACTATGTAAGGAAGTAAGCACAAGATGCCGAACACCCTTAGCAGGATGCAGCGCACCCTTCATGCGACTCGCCGAATATCTCACGGCACATCGCGCTCGGTGATGTGAGAGCCTGGTCCAGCGAGAACCCGGCGTGCTCCGTCCCGGCTTTGTAGGGATGCGAGGTCAATGGTCTAACGACTACAGCATGCACGACTATGAGTACACCCCCCACACCTCTCACTCGATGAGTCGCAAGATCATCGTTTGACCAAAAATATGAAGGTAAAGGAAGTTATAAACTGGGGCTAACAGAGAGGAAACCAACGGGAGAGCCGCAACAGGCAAAGGCTACAATTACCATAACAGGTCAGAACCAAAAAGAAAGGGGAAAAGAGGACACGAAAGAAACGAACAAAATAAGCGTCGCCAGAGCGACGAAAAAGGAACGGTGAAAAAAAAAAAGGCCTGTATCGACAAAACGATAGGATACGCCAAATAATCACTACGGTAGCGTGGGAGCGACGAAGGTCACGAAACACCTTCAGCCCGCAAACTCTAACAAGTAGAGACAAAAAAATACGAAAATGTACAAAAGCACCACAACGTACCAAAAAGGCCGGAAACCAATTGTTTCGGAAGAGAAACCAAGAACAAGAGGGGTCGTGACACCAAACAACAGCTGGCAAAACTTCGGCAGGGAACAAAGAAAGCTCGACCTGGCGGACTATTGAAGCCAAAAGAAAGATAACGAGAGAACGAAAAAAAAAAATGCTATTGCAAGAGCAACAGAAGGCAAAAACAACCAAGCATACCATCTTAATGTGGGCGCGCGACGTCATCAGACAACGAATCGGTCACAACGTCGCCACGCGACATGTCGATGTTGCGAAGAACACCCTCGAATAGGGCGCTGCCGCTGTGTACTTGGAGGCACCAGGATCCAGATATCCAAGTAAAGCAACTTGGAAGCCAAAGGACGACCGTCAGGGCTGTCAGAACATGGGTCCACGGCCAAGATTTTGAAGGGGCCCGTCCAGATTAGAGATAACTCGGCTTTGAGGACCTCATCATCTGTGCCTGAACGAACGCCGTGTCGAATAGTAGATTTGGAGTTATACACCCAAACCCATTCACCAACAGTGTAAGAAGGAAGCTTATGGAAAGCGTCCGATAGAGTGGAATTACGCCGCTCAAACCGCGAAACGGACAGGTTATGCTGTTCACGCACCAAGTCGTAAGAACGACGTTGGCGATCAGCAACAAGATCGCAATATTCGAGTTGATCACGATGCAAGCTTTGGTGGCCACGAGCGTAAGGATGCCCAAGGACAGTCATCGGTAGCCGAGGCAAGCGATTCGAATGCACCTCATTGGGCGCTAAACCGGTAGCGGCGCTAACGGAATTGTTGTAAGCAAGCGCGACGTGTGGGAGATGAATGTCCCAATCATCTTGTCGTTCGTTGACGAGCATAGCCAACATCTGAGCCATAGTGTGGTTGACACGCTCCACGCCCCCATTTCCATTGGGATGGTACGAGCTAGTAGCCACTTTGCGGGTAGCAAGACGGGCATACACGGCTTGGGACAGTTTAGAGCAAAACTGAGAGCCGTTGCCAGACAAAAGTCTCAACGGGCAACCCCACAAAGGGATGTACCTGTTGACAAGGATGTCAGCTGTGCCTTCGGCGGTGAATTCTGCAGCCGTAACCGCGTACATATCAGCACGGCGACTGAAACGGTCTGTAAAGAGCAGAATGTATGTGTTGCCACGTGGTGTCAACGGGAGTGGACCAAAATAGTCAACCCTCATCGACACACCAGGGCCCGAAGGCAAAGGAAGGGACATGGTAGGCCACCGAGGAGTCTGACGAGACGATTTACGGGCTTGGCATCGCAAACAATGCCGCACCCACCATTTCGTACAAACACTGATGCCAATCCAACAATAGAAACGTTCCAGCATGCTAAGCGTGAGAGCCGCACCGAGGTGACAGGAAGCATCAGCGTGGCAGACTTGCATGATCCACAGACGCATGAGCATGGGAACATAAATCCGAATGGGTCCATCGTTAAGAAGGCGAGCAGCACGTCCGCCAGGACGCGTGGTAGTGGACGACGGGGTCGCTGTTCGCTTGCGAACAAGCAAGACCAAACCATCACCGTCCACATGCAACCCGCCTTCGTTAGACAGGTCACGAATCTCCGAAAGAGAGGGTCGACGAGCGGACGGAACACGGTCCAAGAAATCCGAAGGGAGGACCGAAGGCCGACCCAGAAGGATGAAACGAATGGCTGCATCACACACAGTTCGTTACGTTGCTCGCGAGCCCAATCAGCATGCGAGAAACGTTCGACGGACGCCCGGAAGGCTAGATCCGCCGAAGGATGCAAAGCCGCCTCGATAGAAGAGGGGGCTGATTCGCGAGGCGCCGACTGCAACTCATCCGAGGATAGAGCAGCAATTGAAGCCGAAGGCGACTTCGCGCGAGCGGTTGACACCAAACGCGACAAAGACTCCGAAGAGCCGGGGGGTGCAGAAGGCTGCAAAGCAGGAACAACCGCAGTTGTGGTAGGCGTCGGAGACGCAGTCTCCACTCCATGAGCCAGAGGCGCGGAGGGAGTCGAGGATAAACCACCAGCACCAGTAGTCGGAACCCAACTGGGCAAGGCTGGTGTCATCGACGGCGGCGAAGGCGCCGTCGGAGACCGCCGAAACGGTCGAGAGGGAGCGGAAATCCGCGTGGGAGACAAAGAAGGCTCATCGTCAGAAAAACCATGATCAACAGACGGGAGTGGCGTGCCTGCCACAGCTGCCTTGCGACGACGAGTCCTGGTGGAGATCGCTTGGGTGGGGTCGAGGGTCCGACGCGGGTTTCCCAGAGCCGGAACGGCAGACGGAGGCTCGGTCTCTAAACATGATCGAAAGACTGGGGTCGGGAACCAGACCAAACGATGGGAGGTCGATTGCGCAATCGCGACCGTGCCGAACGGCGGAACATCTCGGACGGCAAGGGAGCGATCTTGGGCGACAAGGAAGCGACGTTCCAAATGCTCGATGAAGACGAGAGGCCTGATGGCGGTAGACGCGGACCGTGCCGACGGAATTCAGCGAAGTCAGCCGTACAGGGGGCAAGCCCACATAAGACCGAAGTCGGGGAATTAGGAAGTAGCCCACCCAAGCCAATACCCGCGGCCCGATCACCGGAAGGGGTAAGGCCACCCGAACGGATGAAAAACACCGCCTCTTCATCCTCAGCTGGGGTCAGACGGCTGCGACCCGAACGGTCGCATTCAGCCGCAGCGACTGGTAGGCGTGAGAGGAAGTCAGCGTTGCCATTTGCGGAAACCTTGCGATACTCGAGAGTGTAATTGTAGGCANGCGGTAGACGCGGACCGTGCCGACGGAATTCAGCGAAGTCAGCCGTACAGGGGGCAAGCCCACATAAGACCGAAGTCGGGGAATTAGGAAGTAGCCCACCCAAGCCAATACCCGCGGCCCGATCACCGGAAGGGGTAAGGCCACCCGAACGGATGAAAAACACCGCCTCTTCATCCTCAGCTGGGGTCAGACGGCTGCGACCCGAACGGTCGCATTCAGCCGCAGCGACTGGTAGGCGTGAGAGGAAGTCAGCGTTGCCATTTGCGGAAACCTTGCGATACTCGAGAGTGTAATTGTAGGCAGTAAGAAATTCCAGCCAGCGCTGAACGCGGGCATTGTTCTCCCCCACCTTAGCAAAATGCTCGAGATATTTGTGGTCGGTAAAATGAGAAATATCGTACCCCACAAGTAACCGCGAAGGCGCTTGATACACTACACGATGCTACTCGCCTCGAGATCGAGGGGAACCCAGTGACGTTCTGAGTCCAAAGTAGCCCGGCTGATGAAGACAATTGGGCGAATGGAACCATCTGGCTGTTCTTGTTCGAGAGTCCCACCAAATTCATCGCGACTAGCATCACAGTAAAGATGAAAAGGTCGCGAGCCGTCTGAAACGGCATCCTAATTTGGATAAACCAAAACAGGAGGATTGGCCAACTCAGCTGATAAAACGCGAACGGCTTGCTCCATGGAAGGGGTGAAGATAAACTTCTCTTGCTTCTTGAGTAGAGTAGTCAGAGGTCGAATGCGATTAGCCATGTTGGGGAGGAACTTACGGTAGTAGCTGAGACCACCGAGAAGGGAACGTAGTTGCATGACATCCTTAGGCATAGACATTTTGGTGAGGGCCGAAACCTTGGCACCGTTAGGCCTAACGCCGTCAGGGGAGATGGTGTGTCCGAGGAAGTCTGCTTCAGTAACGCCAATAGTAGCTTTCGGAGGCGTGAGTTCCAAGTTGTGCGTACGCAAGCGTTCAAAGAGTGCGCGCATGGTACCAACGTGAGTAGCAGGGGTGTCATCAAAGACGATCAAATCATCCAAGATGTAACACCGCCTTATTATTGATGACTTCGTTGACAACTTTGCAAACCACCCAGGGGCAGCCGAACTGCCTTGAGGCAGCTTCAACCACTCGAAAAGCCCCGACGACGTCACGAATGCCGTCAAAGGGATGGTATCGCGGTGCACCGTGATTTGGTGGAACGAAAATTTCATTTCGAAAAGGGAATAAATTCGCCCTTTCAACAACTTGTCCAAAGTATCATCGACTCGAGGAATCGGAAGCTGACTCAAAGCACAAAGCTTATTGAGCTTGCGATAATTGACGGTGATGCGAACACCACCAGATTTCTTCGGTATGAATACCAAAGGGCTCGAGTAAGGCGAGGTCGAATGTTGGATCAAACCTGCTGCAAGATATTGGTCAAGGATCGCGTCAACTTGTCTCGCCACCGGGGGATCAACGCGGTAGGGGCGAAACGTGACGGGTGCGCTGCCAGGAGGAATTGTAAGCTTAAAAGAAAAAAGCGAGCAAGATCCAAAGTCGGTCGGAGAACTCGAAAACACATCATGGTGTTCGCACAAATCGTTACCAAGCTGAGTAATGACATCGGGAGTCCAACCCGGGCCGTGGAGATCAAAAGTAATCTCACGGAGATGGCAGGGTAGCTTATCCCAGACTTGGGAGAAACATTGACGCTGTTCTGGCGTCAACCGCTCGAGAAGGGCAGGCGAAGGCGACGAAGAGGAAGAACTGGCGGAACCAAGTCCCCTCGGTCGCTTGGCGACGGGACGGGTCGCTCGTACAAATTATACACAAAGGGGTCAGAGACGGAGTGCGTGGCAGACGAATCAACGCCTCCGGCAGAAACAGGACCAGGGACCCAGCTGTCTGAAGCAGCGGTGGATTCTGAAGCCGCAGTTTCAAGACCATCGCTCAAACTGTGGCGAGAACAGCGCTAAGAGGCACGCGAAGAAGGGGGGCCGAAGCTGTAGCCAGAACGTCGCCGGGTTCGAGAGACGAGATGCCCANTTATACACAAAGGGGTCAGAGACGGAGTGCGTGGCAGACGAATCAACGCCTCCGGCAGAAACAGGACCAGGGACCCAGCTGTCTGAAGCAGCGGTGGATTCTGAAGCCGCAGTTTCAAGACCATCGCTCAAACTGTGGCGAGAACAGCGCTAAGAGGCACGCGAAGAAGGGGGGCCGAAGCTGTAGCCAGAACGTCGCCGGGTTCGAGAGACGAGATGCCCACAAGAGGGATTCGTTGGCAACCATTTTGCACAAAATGTTCCTCGGAAGAAAACATAGCACATTGGGGGAGCATATCCACCAAATAGTAACCCACGAGGGCAGGCGAGCCATCATTGCGTACCAAATTGACCTGCATGAGGCTATGCTCTGGGTGAAGTTGAACGGAATGTTTGCCTGCATAGCGAATGTGGTAGCTTCCATCCTTTGCGGACAGATCGTAAGCAAATGCAGTGGCACCACAAGTGTCATGTTGGGCTAAAGTAAGCTCACCAAAGACACGGTCACCAGGACGTTTCGCACGTGAAGTGCGGTAAGAACGGTCACTAAACCGCATCCAACCATCTCTGCCGAGGAGCACGTCATGATGCATGACGCCGTCAGGAAAAACGTATGCCCAAACAGCAAGAGAGGAAGGTTCTTACGAAGAAACTGAACACTCAAACGGACAATAGTCGAAGTTTGAAGCGGCGCAGATTTCCCAAAGCCACCCCAACAGCGAGGTTGGGTGTGTTTCTCAGACAACGTTGAAGCAGCCGAAGCCGCTTTCATGGATCCCCATGCAGAAGCACTAATATAAGACTGCGGAGAACCCGTATCCAAAAGAGCGATACACCCAAACTGCACAGAGGCCGAACCGCTGTGGAGTAGGATTCTGGTGGTGAAGGAGTCGTCATCGATGGTGACAACACCACCAACCAAATCCGGACCTTGCTCTGGGAGCGAGGAAGAGGACGACGGGATTCGGCGGTGTCGTGATCTGACGGGACGTTCGGAGCGTATTGCGAAAATGACGCGAACCGGTCGGTCGATGGAGGGCACGAAGCCGCCCGAAGGCGCTGGTGTGTGGAAGGGTTAACTTCATACACCGCAGAATGAAGGAACGACGTCGGAACGTGGTTGGTCGGGGGCAGCAAACAAGAGCTGCGCTTGGGAGGCAGGGCACGGTGTCGCAAAAGACTGCGTACGTTCTGTAGGGCGGTGCCTAACAGGTTGAGGCCGCGCCATCTAGATGTGCATCCAGCGACAGGATGACCGGCCTGGAGGCCAATGCCCCAAACACGGTCGTAAGGACTGGTTTCGGCAAGGGTTTTGTCACCAGATCCGAGGAGATGATTTCGTAACTCGGAATTTTGACTAAATTTTGCGTAAAAGCCAGCGAGCACAATGTTTTCGCGTTCTTGTTCCCAACGAGATTGGTCGAAACCACGGACCTCACGGCCAAACTTTTTGTGAAAGGTCGGGTCTGACACTCGCATGTCGTTCTGCAAAGCACAGCGATCTCCGATAAGACGGGCTTGTTCTGCAGCGAAATTGTTCGACACACGAGTAAACAACGCCATCGACCGTGAAGGTCGACGGTGTCCATCGGGAAGAAGGGAAGGACGGCTTCCAAAAGAAACCATGTCTGGAGTACAATACTCGGTAGACGGGTCGAAAACGGCCGGAGCAACAGAGGCCGGAGCGCCCTGAGTGCTGTTAGTCGAATTTGGAGTCGTAGCCGAAGATGCGGAGTCATGATGGACAGTATGGATATCCTTGGGGGTGGTCCTTGTAACAGCGGGACCTGACGAAGAATCGACTTGAGTCGGATTGTTCGCATTAATTGGGCCAGCAACACTGGGCTGGGTGCACCCCGATTCTAAACCTGAAGAGACGCTTCGAAAGGTGTTCGGCAACAGGGCGCTTTCGCTGGGAACGGCTGCCAAAGCCGGGTTACTTGAAGAACTGAACCGAGCATGGCGCTCCTGGCTATTCCCCCGTGACAAGGTACGCGAGACCGCCGACTGTTCGAAGGTCACTTCGGGGGCGTCCTCCCGAAGCGGTGGTGTCAACACTATCGACGTTGGTCGCAGCAGCCTAGAAGTGGGTGCCGTTGTACGAGCGTGCGTCGGAGAAGGTGGGGCTTGTAAAGACGACCCACGGTCGAAATGTCGCGTAGCGGAATCTGAGGGTGTCCGGTGGTCGGAACCAGGGGGACAAAGCGATTCGAAGCCAGACGAATTTGACCCTAAAACTTGCCGGTCGGAACCAGCCAAGTTAGCTATCGGTGCAAAAGTCGAAGGCGGACCTTCAACGGAAGCGAGCATAGACGAATTGGGCGTATCCGAAGATGCACCTGAGGCAATCAATTCGGGCAATTCTTCATCAATCGTCCAAAGGACATGGCTACTGCCGATCCTATCTGCAGACGACGGGGGAGTGAACGAGAGGTGATCGACGAACGAGAACTCTTTGGCCCCAAAGGTCCAACGCTCTGTTCCCACACCTCAAGACAGCACTCACGTCAGACTGATTAGTTCCGACGAAGCAGCAATCCGACGAGTCGAGGGTGCAGAGGTTGCAGACGATAAGTGCGACGGCGAAGGTGGGATGTGAGCATTTGGCTGAAGACCGACCTGATCGACACTTGAAGAAACAACGTGTACCTGAGTACCGCTGTCATTGGATAGCACCGAAGTGCGAGAGCGCGTAGGGAGAACATTTACCGAAGTATTGTTGTGGTTGCTTAAGACTGACGTGCAAGAGGCAACTGAAGGTGATACACGCGCGTCTTGTATTGAGCGAGACAAAGTTCCCAAAAATGCTGGAGGCGGTCCGAGGGAAGGAGGCGAACAACCGCGGGGGAGTCATCCGGTACATGAACGGCCCCCATTGTGGAAGTTACCAGGTTGGCGTGCGTTGTGATTGGTCGAAACCATGACGCCAGACGAGGGACAAGTTTGAGCATGCGATTGGGGTTGATAGACGGGCAGAGCACCAGTGTGGTGGGTGTTGCCAGACGTCTGTTGTGTATGATGATGGTTACCCGCGGAGTTTTCCGAGGTTTGACCACCGTGGTGTGATTGTTGGTGGTGATTGTGGTAGGAACTACCACCGTCGGAACCGCGAGGCCCGGCGTGGTTTCTAGNAGGTTGGCGTGCGTTGTGATTGGTCGAAACCATGACGCCAGACGAGGGACAAGTTTGAGCATGCGATTGGGGTTGATAGACGGGCAGAGCACCAGTGTGGTGGGTGTTGCCAGACGTCTGTTGTGTATGATGATGGTTACCCGCGGAGTTTTCCGAGGTTTGACCACCGTGGTGTGATTGTTGGTGGTGATTGTGGTAGGAACTACCACCGTCGGAACCGCGAGGCCCGGCGTGGTTTCTAGGCTGAGAGGAGGAGGAAGAAGACTGCCGGTGGCGTCTACCCTGATTGTTATTGCGGCCATCTGAACCCTTACGCCTGAAGGATCGCATGCGACCTTGCCCACGCCTAAAGGCAGCAGAGTCGTCATTGAGGTGACCCAACTCGGGATTCAACAACCCACTAGAATTCGTGAAGGGAGAAGCACATTGCTTCATGGAATGGTCATCACCCGAGCAGTTCAGACAGCGGTTTCTGTTTTCGCGGAAGGCTTGCGATCGAGCCTCTTGTGTCAACAAATGAGTCCATAAAAAGGATCATCGGTGTTACGAAAATTAACGGTGAGGGCGTATTCATCAGACCAGTTGACTTGCGAAGCAGGCCATGAGTTGTAGTTGTGCGTGAAAGGATCCGCGACTTGAGGTTGCACGGGCAAAACTACAGGGTTCTGTGCGGAGCCGGATGCCCACTGGCCCAAAGACGCAGGGGCGCGTTGGTTAGACCGCCGAGGCTGCGGAGAGCCACGCGTCGAAGTCAACGAGAAATAAGATGAACCGCGTGATGATGTCGAAGCCGGAGATGATGTCCGAGAGTCGGCCGGTGTTGGCCGCGTCTTCTCGACTCGGGTTGTGACTGCTGTACCGGCATGATCGTGGATGGAAGGAAGCGTGGAAGGGGGGGGGGCACCGAGGTATTCAAGATACTGTAGCAGGTGGAACAGTCGAAACTGCAGGAGTAGCCAGGGTTACAATTGTAATGGCGCCGAAGCAACAGTTAGTTAGCTAATGGGTAGGTATCTAGCAGGTGTACAGTCGAGCCTGCAGCAGTAACCGAGGTTACAGGTATATTGGAACAGTCTAAACTGCAGGATTAACCGAGGTTACAATGGTGCCGAAGCGGCAGGTAGCGAAAAAGGAGGTTACAGTCGAGACTGCAGCAGTAACCGTTACAGCTAGAAACGCCGAAGCAGAACTAGCATTGGGGTTGGTCGTCGAAACAACAGGTAAGGAAACCGCGGTGTGAGCACGGCGGGCTGTCGAAACTGCGGGCATAGTCCAAACTAGTGGCATGGAAACCGCGGTGTGAGCACGGCGAGCAGGCGAAAATGCTGTCACAGGCGTGAGCCGGAGCTACAGCACGCGTCCAGTGGGGTGGGTGACCGAAGTCATACCATAAGCCATACACAGCCGGTTAGTACCGTTTGCGAGCAGTCGAAACTGCAGACACAGACGGTGTGAGCCGAAGCTACATCACGTGTCCGGGTTGGGTGACCGAAGTCATAATCAACCGGTTAGTTTCGACTACTGTTGATGTTTATATGCATATAATGTGGTTACATACTTACGACACATGTAAAAGAAATACCATGGGATACACAGTCGAAACCACTGGAACAGATGCATGTGAAGCAGTCAAATCCAAAGGCACTGACGCCACTGACACGGATGCACGACGGTCATGAAGCCGTTGGGCACGAGCGGCGGCTTGTGTACGACTGCTAGTCTACGCGATGAAAAAGGAGGAATGGCCGGCACAGTGTAATCGAAATGCAGTGTGCGGCCAAGAACAGAGCCATGAGGCAAGCGTGGCACCACAGAGCCAGCGTTGTCAAAGCCAATGTCTGCCCGAACAGCAGAAGGCTCAGCGGCGGTCGAGGTCAGAAGAAAAGTGGAATCAGCAACATGTGGTTCCGGCGGGAAAACTTGGGACACACCACCTGGTTACCAGCGGCTGTNAAAAGGAGGAATGGCCGGCACAGTGTAATCGAAATGCAGTGTGCGGCCAAGAACAGAGCCATGAGGCAAGCGTGGCACCACAGAGCCAGCGTTGTCAAAGCCAATGTCTGCCCGAACAGCAGAAGGCTCAGCGGCGGTCGAGGTCAGAAGAAAAGTGGAATCAGCAACATGTGGTTCCGGCGGGAAAACTTGGGACACACCACCTGGTTACCAGCGGCTGTAAAAACAGAAGGCTGGGTACTCGAAAGGACAGAGGTGGAAACCGAAGCTTCTGCTGTGGGTGCAGGCAATTTGAGGACAGCACCCACGGAGTTAGCGTCAGTAGAAGCCGTGGAGGCGAACTCCTCCCGTCAACGTTGAGCGCGAAGCTCTGACAAACGGGTGGCTTCTAGACAATGATGGGGTCAGCAGCGCGCGCGCCATCAAGAGACGGCAGCAACGACGATTTGGAATCGTCGGCTGACGGCCCGCAAGCCGAAGCACCGAGTGGAGACACCGGCGAGCGAGAACACTCTGAGGGCTCTGGACTGGCCGAAGCCGAGTCCGAGGAGTCGACTCTAAGCTGAGACAAACCGATCAGCGGGGCAAAGCTGAATTGTGTGTAGACGAAAGCGCAGAAAGCTGCGTGCAGCAGCAGGCGCGAGCCGCCCAAACACAAACAAGCCTCAGAAAGCACGCTCTACGTTTATGCCCTCAACGCAAATTGTAAAGGATATGCACGCGCGGTGCAATCTGGGAGACCCGTGAAGACGAACGCACTTGTTATTAACTCGTGTGGCACAGCTGCAGTAGCTGTTGCCAAGGGAAGGTAGAGGACTGACTAGGATGGGGCCAGGATCAGCTGCTCAAGCAGGGGCTACTAGATCCTGTCCCCTGTGTCCTTCCGTGGGGAGTTGCATCTCCTGCACTCTTCTCTGGGCATTAGCCCGCACTACCGTTTGTACTTTCCTACACATTCAAATCCCACACACCAAGAAGCGGATTTGAAGGTTGGAACGGATTTCCCACGCGGTTTTTTCGAATTCGAACCTGAAACTTGGACACGGCATCTGCATGATGAGTACAACAAACAAATAAGCCACTACTACTGCGCCATTTGGATTTTTTTTTTTCATGAGTTGGGCTGATATTAGTAGACTAATCGTGGGAATATTTGCTATACGAAAAAGCCGCATAAAAAAGGCAAGGAAAAAAATCAAATTGGCGCAGGCCTGTCTGTTTATTTGTTGTACTCATGAGGATCCCGTGTCGAAATTTATGTTTTTTTTTATTTGAAAAAACCGCGCGGGAATCGCGATATCCTCACATTCTCTCAGGTACCTTGTGCTTTGTCGCCTGTTTATTTGTTGTACTCATGAGGATCCCGTGTCGAAATTTATTTTTTTTCATTCGAAAAAACCGCGTGGGAATCGCGATATATATCCTCACATTCTCTCAGGTACCTTGTTTGTGCTTTGTATCGGATTCTTCACGAGGCCATAGCTTCTGATGAAAGATGAGCATAGGAGGTACTACCAATAGTCCAACGTACGCATGTCGATTTCCAATGCCGATACGGGAAACTAAGGGTGGAAGCATGCATCAGGATGTGACAGACCATGGTTTATATGCCGCGAGTACGACGCCTACTGCCTTGCACCTCTTCCAAGAACACTGACGGTTGTGGAAGTTATGTTTTTTTTTTTATTTTTCCAAATACAACACAACGAGTCCATTTCCGTCAGAGAAAAGAGTCAAAGACAGATTAGCAATGGAATCATAGCGTCAAAGAAAACTACCTGTTGTGTGTCCACGATTTCCCAGACAGCATATATGGACATCTCCCCTGCGGATAACAGGCTCAACAAGACAGTTTGGTAGCTGTGTTGTGTGTCTTATATATGTTATGTTGGGAAGGTGTAGACGAAAAGTGTTGGGCTGTTAGTTAGTCGGGTGTTTTATGTGTGGCACCCTGTTGGTTGTGGATCTCCATCCATTTTACACGTGTATTTCCAGTTTGGTATGCATTTAACGCGAGGAATATGATTTGGTAAGTAATTGAGTTTGGTATGCATATGCATGCATCTGTGTCAAATTGTGCGGCACACGGGAGTGGTCTCCCAGTTTTGTGTAATTTCATGCCCATAAATGTGCGAAGGGCACGGGAGAACATTCTTTCATCATTGCCTCCTGACGTGGTCGGTCGTAGGTAAGGCGTGTGGTTGAGGTTCCATCACCGATATGTGGGTGTTCGTGTGTTCAAATGTAATGGGTTGGTCATCTCTCTCGCCCGTGTGTAGGCAGGGAGTATGGTTATATCTCTCCCCTCAGTGGGCAGCACAGACCATATGTAAAGAAGAGTTGATCATTTCGTGCATAATACATCATTTATGTTTGGCACGACAGGAGGAATGAGATTTAGTTGTTCTGACATTTTGACGGTGTACGTGGGTACGGAAAGTACTCCCTGTGTCCGTGATGTTCCCTGATGTTGTCGCATCGAGTGGCAGCATGTGCCAAGGACAGGTAGACGTGGAAGGACGGCGACAGGTGAAGGGCAGCAGTAGTAGTGTGTTGTGCATGGTGGCTTGTTGGCTTGTACAGAGACCAGTACATCTTCGACCGACCTTCGTTTTTTTTTTCGTTTTTTTTTCGTTCGGTTGGTCTCGCCGAAACGTTTTTAGAACCGGTCTCTGTTTTTCATACCGACGAACACTCGTTCCAGGACGCCTTTCTCCAGCATATACCGGAAGGCGCCCCTTGACGGACCATATTTCTGCGTGACCCCGTCTCGCACGAGTGAGCGTGCAGGAGGCGCGGAGAGAGCTCTCGCGTGCAGTATCGAGGGATTACTCGCCGTTCTACCGTGGCTACCCGATTCCGCGCTCGGGAGCAGCTTCTGAGCCCTCCGCGTTCTCTGTCAATTCGCCCACAGGTAAGATGAAACACGAAGCTTCGGCTACTTTTTTGACCTGTGTGTCCGCCTCCAAATCGGTCGTTCCCACCCGGCCCCTGTGCGTCGAGCACGAAGTGGTGGCATGCACGTTCCTGAAGCGATGCAAGCGTCCGCACAGGCGACTCGCGTTGGCAGCTTGTATTCCGCAACATGCTTTGCTGTGTCTTTTTTTGCGTTCGTTTCTCTGTGCGCGTCTCGAGCGCATTGTTTCTCGCATGTTTTCCCAATTATTTTCTGGGACAACCGCCGTGCAGCCTGCTGTGCGTTCGCTCCTGGCAGCTGAAATAAACTGAAATAAACGAACGTCACGTACGTACGCGCGCCAGCAAGGTCACGTAAGGAGAGTCGGGAGGATTTAACGCTACAGGGTGAAGTCGCTCGTTCCGAAACAAGCCGCACTCATCCACCACCGCCCGGAAACAGCCTTCCACATCCACGCGCAAAGTATGCCGACAGAACTTTGGGTTTGGCAGGTGAGACAGACGAGCTACGTTCAACTAGGGGGGGAAATGAGGGGGCCCTGCGCCTTCAGCGCGGCGCGGGGGGCCGAATGAGAGGGTCCGTTCATCTCTCGCCGTACACAGTGGTCAGAGTTGACGGCGGTATGGCATACATACATACATAATGGTGATATGGGATATGCGGGGAAATTGTGCAAGCGCGCGGTTGCAGAAAATCTCAGAATTTTCTAGCGCGCCCGATGCCACTCCATCCTGATATTGTATGTATGGTTTCACACGGACGCAGTGCACACGAAAACACATGACGGGTGGTACTACCTCTCATTCGGTACCGCTTTCGAGGTGGAAAACGTGTGCGTCGTCAGGCGGCATAATGTTGTTGTTGTTGTTGTTGTCTTCACATTAAAAACCATCCCGGTCTCTCTATCCAGTACCTCCTTCTGTCTCAATCTCTCCGTACTAATCCATCACTTGACTCGGCCAATTTCCGTGGTCACAGGCTAACGTACCTAGAAAAGGTATACCAAAATAAAATGGACCCCAAGGGTCAGCAGAGCGATAAAATACAAGAAAA